TGTATAATATACAAAAATTTGGCTTTTCAATGATCAAAATTGACACATCTTACACAATTTCGATATAATACATTCACCAAAACTCATTCCCATTTAATTAGCCATAATACAAATATTAACATCATAAAAGTCAATAATATTACATATCTCTAAACAATTCTGGGTACTTTTCTCGAACATCCACTTCCCTTTCCGAAGTAGCTTCTTCCACTCCATGGTGATGCCAAAGTACCTTAACTAGGGAGATGGTTTTGCCTCTTAGTACTTGCTCCCGGGTGTCTAAAATCCTTATGGGTCTTTCTTCATAAGTAACATTCTTATCTATTTTGATTTCGGCCCAATCTAATACATGTGAGGGATCGGGTTCATATTTGCGAAGCATGGAGACGTGAAACACGTCATGAATTTCAGACATCTGTGGAGGAAGGGCAAGACGGTAAGCAACTTCTCCCACCCGTTCAATAACATCAAATGGGCCAATGTATCTAGGTGATAGTTTTCCATTTCGGCCAATCTCATCAAACCCTTCTTTGGTTATACTTTCAAAAATGCATGGTCGCCCACGTCAAAGATTAATGGCCCCTCATTCGATTCGCGTAACTCTTTTGCCGACTTTGCGCCGTGATTAGTCTCTTTCGGATAACGACTACCTTTTTCGTAGTCTCACGAACTAAGTCCGGGCCAAGCATGGGTGAATCTCCTACCTCAATCCAACACACATGAGACCTACATGGACGCCCGTATAATGCCTCAAAAGGTGCCATCCCAATGCTAGCCTGAAAACTGTTGTTATAGGAAAACTCGGCTAACGGCAGATAGTTCTCCCACATCCCCTTGAAGTCTAGTACACAGGCCCTTAACATATCTTTTAAAATTTGGATGGTACATTCCGATTGGCCATCAGTTTTGGGGTGATAAGCAGTACTAAAGTTCAATTGAGTCCCCATGGCAGTTTGTAAGCTTTGCAATAATCGTACGGTGAAGCGAGGATCTCTATCCAAAACTATACTTATGGGAACCCCATGAAGCCGAATAACCTCTTTAACATACAACTTTGCTAAGTAGTCAATGGAGTCACTTATACACATCGCAAGAAAATGTGCCGATTTAGTTAGTCGGTCCACTACGACCCAAATAACATCATTACCCCTTTGAGTTCTAGGGAGGCCGGAGACAAAGTCCATGGTGATGTGTTCCTACTTCCATTCAGCTACTGGCAAGGGTTGTAATAACCCGGCTGGTTTTTGGTATTCCGCTTTGACTTATTGACACGTTAAGCATTTAGCCACAAATAGAGCTACATCCCTCTTCATACCCTTCCACCAAAATTGACGACACAAGTCTTGATACATCTTTGTACCTCTGGAATGAACGGTTAAACGGGAGTGGTGGAATTCTTGAAATACATCCTCTCTACAAGATTGTGGAACGAAAAGGCAATTTACATGTCGAATGCCTGAATCGGAATGCACCCTTAATCCCTTATCCCCTTGTCCTGGTGAGATCTTCTCTCTCATAATCCCCACTTCCGGATCATTCTATTGTGCTTCTAAAACTTGAGTGACTAACGATGGTTGAATTGAAATCGAAAACAACATAGCTTGATTAGACGATTCACCGAGTTGTACCTCGAATTCATTTAAACCCCCCAACATCTTCCATTCTCTCATGGCAAGGCTGGCAATCGTGCTCATAGATTTTCTATTTAAAGCATCTGTGACAACATTCGCCTTTCCCGGATGGTAATGTAATTCAAAATCGTAGCCCTCCATATATTCCATCCATTTTCTCTGACGGAGGTTCAAATCTTTCTGCGAGAATAAGTACTTAAGGCTCTTATGATCAGAAAAAGATATCAAATTTCTCTCCATATAAGTAATGTCTCCAGGTTTTTAAAGCAAAAATGACTGCAGCTAATTCAAGATCGTGAGTAGGGTAGTTTCTCTCATGAGTTTTCAGTTGGCGAGAACCATACACTACAACCTTGCCTTCTTGCATTAAGACACACCCTAGCCCTTCTTTTGATGCATTACAATAGACAATGTAACCTTTTCCTCTCTCAAGAATAATCAAAACCAGCACAGTGGTTAATCTGGCCTTTAATCCTAGAAAAGATTTCTCACTGGCATCGTTCCATATAAATTTCACCCCCTTCCCGGTTAGTTTGGTCAATGGTGCTGCTAAAGAGGAAAAATCCTTTACAAAAAGCTAATAATACCCAGTAAGCCCCAAAAAACTACGTATCTCAAACACATTTCTAGGTCGTTCCCATTTCTGCACGGCTTCAATTTTCGATGCATCTACTGTCACTCCATCCTTTGAGACCACATGACCCAAAAACTTCAGCTTTGAGAGCCAAAACTCACACTTCTTGTATTTAGCATAGAGTCGATGTTCTCTAAGAAGTTGTAAGATGATGTGAAGGTGCTTCTCATGCTCCTCTTCGGAGGGCGAGTAAATAAGTATGTCATCTACAAAAACCACCACAAACTTATCAAAAAATTCTCGAAAAATTAGATTCATCAGGTCCATAAAAGTTGCAGGAGCATTGGTTAAGCCAAACGGCATTACTAGAAATTCATAGTGGCCATATTGGGTACAGAAGGCTATCTTGGGAATGTCCTCCTCATTCACTCGCAACTGATGATAGCCCAATCTTAAGTCTATTTTCGAGAATCCCTAAGTTGGTCAAAAAGGTCATCTATCCTAGGTAAATGGTATTCGTTCTTAACTGTGGCTCTATTGAGTTTATGATAATCGATACATAACCGTAATGAACCATCTTTCTTCTTCGCAAATAGGGCCGGTGCTCCGCATGGCGAAGTACTAGGGCGTGTAAAACCTTTGTCTAACAATTCTTGTAACTACTTCTTTAAGACAAGTAACTCCGCTGGGGCAAATCTGTAGGGAGGCATAGAAATAGGTGTGGTCCTGGGCACTAAGTCAATGGAAAATTCTATCTCACGATGAGGTGGTAATGTCGTGAGGTCTTTAGGGAAGACATCGGGATACTTAAACTACTTTAGGAAACATTCCTCGACTCCCATTATTCTCATCATCTATGACAAATTTTTCAAACTGTCTCTAAAAAATTTTCAATCTGTCTCTAAAAATTAAAAATTAGTGACATTTTTTTGTGATGATTTTTTTTAAATTGTTGCTAAAATTTATAATTAGTAATATTTTTTATGATACATTTTTTTAAACTTTCGCTGAAAATTAACTATTAATGATATTTTTTAATAATATTTGATAAAAAATATTATTAATTGTTATAAAATTTATAGGCTTTGTTTGGCATATACTAAAATAGTTAAAAGGTCAAAAAGTTACTATTCTATTTAAGTCACATCATCTTATTTAAGTCACATCAGCTCTTTACCGCATCACTTCAAACTCAACTTATATTTCATAAAAAATTAAAAAAATACACTTATTTAGAACCTCGCAAACAACCTTTAAATATATAGGGTAGCCCAGTTGGTTGAGGGTAAGGGACCAGAGACCTAGGAGCATGTTCCTCTCTAGGTCTCAGGTTCGAATCCCACTCCCAGCTGGCTACTGGCGGGCCACTTCCAGTTTTGATATGGGTTGAGCAGATGCCGGTTCACGGTCCGCATTTGCCAAACCAGTAAAGTAAGGATCCGTTAATGCCTGAAAAACAAAAAAAAAAAAAAAAAAAAAAAAACCATTAAATATATAGGATTTATAGGTCTCCCGTGACATTTTGGATTTTAATAAAATGAGTTTTCAAAAATCGGAAGCCAAATAGGTTTTGGATTTTGAAAAATTGATTAAAAAATTTAACCAAACGCACTGTGTATATATTAAGGCGGTACAGCTCGATTGCAGCCCTAGTTGGGTGCAAAACAGTCAGAAGAATTGGGGACTCAAGAGGCGAACCTTAGATTAGAGGGTTTCTCTTCACCAGGGTTGGGGTAGCAAAGTTTGGTTCGTTAGGTGAGAATATTGATGTTTGCGATGCCAAGTTTTCTTTCTCACATCATTCTGAATTATTTATTATTATGTTTTGATTGATTGTTTTGTTATTTGATGGGAATACAATCAGTTTTTTGATTTTAATTGTTTTTTCACGATGTAATGGTTTGGCTGTGTGGTGGTGTCTCAGAGACGAGGAATATCACGAGGAGGGAGAAATAAAAGAGGTCCAATCCAATCGAAGATTGAAATACAAGGCAGTGATGGAGGAAAACACGTTGATTAATAGTAGTTCTTCTCTTGTTTCTGGTAGCGAAGGTGAGAGCAATACACTTGCTCCTGACAAAAGCACACTTGAAAGTGAGAACTGGGGGGGTGATTTTTGCAACTCAGAGTAAGCTTTATCTGCCCTTCTCTTCATATCATTATGTTATTTTATTTATTGGCTTTTGGTTTAATTTTTCCATAGCAATTCATGCTTATTATGCATTGTGGGCTGAATTAGTAACATTGACTCGGATTCGACTGAATTTGAAATTGGGGGACTTCATTACGGTCCTTATAGCGACGATGACGGGGGACTTCATTACGGTCCTTATAGTGACGATGACGGCTTTCGGTATGAAACGAAGGAGACCAATTTTGTTTGGGATGGATGGTGAGTTTTAGTAGTAGTTACTCTTCTTGTTTATCACATACAAGTTTCAGTTGCCTTTACTTTTACTCAATAAATTTGTTCATGGTTGATTTGTGTTGAGGTTGTTAAAATTGGAATCCTACCTTCTGGATAATGATAAATTTGATATAATACATCTTTTATGCTACAATAAATTTTTAACTACATGCATTTGCATGTGCAATTCAAAAAAAAAAAAAAAACATATATAATGTAGGTTGCTCAAGTGGGACAGACTTTCATTATTAAATCCAAGGCTATGGGTTCGAGGCTCATCCTCTTTTTTGCATAATTCTTACAAAAACTCCAAATATAACTCCAAATATAGGGGTGTTTTGGAAAAATCCAAAATATGGGACAAAAAGTGTCAACACCAATAGCAGCATTCACTTTATATATTAGAATAGATATGCTCCCCTTGTCCCAAACAAAAGCAATTAATATGCTCAAATTCAAATTCAAAAGTGTTGATTCCCATCGTTGTCCCTTTAATATATTCTTTGGCAACATAAAACTTTTGTGCATTGACTTTTCAAAAGTGGACATGAGCATTGTGGTTGGGAACGTCCAAAAATGGAATTATGGACTAACAAAATGGGACAGAGGGAGTAGTATTTACTAATAGTAATTATTAATGATAATTGTTAAAATTGTAACTAACATTGATTTTAGATTGAAATCCAGTTTTCATTTCTCCCTCCATTCAATGGTTGGTGTACATTTGATTTTTTCCTCTTGCTCCTACTCCTCTTCCCCATTTTTGTCAATCTTTATTTTGTGGAAAAGGTTTATTTTCTTTCACATTACGTGGCACAGTCTATAATTTTTTCTTTTGGGTTTGTTTCTTTACAGTGAATCCTTAGGAGTTTGGTAGTAGGATGGTTTGTTGGCTGTCATAGCGAGAGATGCTTCATTTGACTAGTTTTTTGGTGGTTCATAATTCATTCAATGGCTGAGGTTTTCGGTCTATGAAGGCCTCACTCAATTTATTGTGTCAAAATATAAATTTACTAACAGCATGAGAGTCAATTTGACTTGATGCACGTACTATGGATAATCGAACCAAACCAAACCAAACCAAACCAAACCAAACTAAAATAGGGCTTCTGTTCTCATCAAATAGGGTTGGCCACATGATTCTTTTAGCCATTTTGCTCTGTCAAGAGTTATATGTTCAATTAATTAAATAATTCATATAATTTCTTACTACCGCAATCCATGTCAATTTAGCTCTTCCCCTTCCTCTAACGTTTCTGTTTACGACGATCATTTTACTGCTATGTATGGATAGAGTTTTCCTTTATGTATGCTTATCTTGTGATGTTGAACCCTCTTTCAGGGATAAACTTGTAATTTTACATATTAAGTAACATGTTTTTCTTACCAGAAAATAATCTATTTGACTCTTATTTAACACATTTTTAAAAGTTATTGAAATCTCTCTCTCTCTCTCTCTCTCTCTCTCTCTCTCTCTGTCTCCCCTTCTCTTTTTAATGAAGGTATTGTTTACTATAAGATCAAATGTTACTGAGAAATGCAAGTCTGTGGCCCTGTTTTCGGTTCCCAAAATCATATCCACTATGTATTCTCTTGTTCCTTGCTTAACTTTTTCTACATAACCGTCGAAATATCCACATAATTATTTTTATTTCGTATAAAATAAAATAGATATTTGTTGCATTAACTCATCCAGTTAATCCCAAAATTGCGTTTTTCATTTGTTCCTCCAATCCTATTTGGGATTCATAGGTGCTAATCACATTAATTATAATTTCTCCCATTACAAGTTTAATTAACACGATTATGTTCTGCCTCCAATTCTTGTAATTGTTACTACCTTATCTTTAGCAACAATTAATTGTACATCTTTCTTAGTTTTAATGTATTTTATATCAATATTTTCAATTGATAAGCATAGTGTGGTCTATGCAAGTTATGGGAAATTAAGTTGGATGGTGCGTCTTTGTAGTCCCTACATTCACTACAAGAAAAAACACTTTTGGCGACCACCTTTTTTTTTTGGTCGCAAATAGTCCACTTTCTGCGATCAAAACAGTTATCCCAATTTTTTTTACCCAACTGGTTTCCTATATATGCTTTGTCTATAGTTGTCAAATTGGGATTCGTATCGTGAATCGAAATGGTCTCGTACCGAATCGCGAATTGAATCGAATCGTGAATCGTAAAGATTCGGTCACTTCTTCTAAATTATTTAAAAACATATATTTACACATTTAGATGTTAAATATATCTTATGAATATAAAATATTTAGACTTAAATTAATAAAAATATTATTTTGAATGATAATCACGTAATTTAATAAGTAAGAAGTTAACAAACGTTCCTATGTAAGATCACCATCTTACCTTTTTTTTCTTTTTTAGATATTTCTTATCAACCATTCTTAATAAAAATAATAACCAAATAGACAAACTATCAATTTTTAAAGTAACAATAATTAACGATATTAATATTTGGACAATAAGCATACATAATTTTCTAAGTAACAGTGAGCAAATAATAAAAAAGAATCATTTAGAATTTTTTTTTTAAAGCCTAAAATATTTTAAGAAGTATAACTGACCTTACAGATGTAATATTTAATTTAATAAAATAGCAATAGATAATTCATAGTGTAATTTTAATCTTAAACATCTTTAGAAATATTATGATTTTTTAAAGGAAAAAAAAAATGAGAAGAAAGGTTAAACATATGTTGGGTCTGACTAAAATTAATTGAATCCTATTAAAAACTTCATGATCACTAAAATAATAACAAATCATGTATATATGCTGGTATTAAACGCTATTAGAAGTTGTATTATGTCATTTTTACTAAAAAGATGGAGGAAAAATAGAGTCAAAAATATGTCGAACATAATAATTTTAAAAATTGCATGAATTGTAAAAAACGAATCGAATCGTGAATCGATTGTGAATCGTGTGATTCACAAGAGATTCACTTCCAAAATAGATTCACCATTAGATTCGTATCGATTTTGTAAATATTGCGAATCGAATCGTGAATCGAATCGCGAATCGAATCGCGAATCGTAAGATTCTGATAACAGTGGCTTTGTCATTCGTGCTTTAGTAGTTCTTAGTTAAACAACTACCTACTGAACTAATACCTTGGAATTTTAATTTCTTCCTTCCTCGTTCATGGATGTGTTGGTATAACTATATGTTTTGTCGATAAAGGAATGTACATATATAGCTTCAAACCAACAAAATGGGTCCATCATAATTCAGACCAAGGGAATTGACTTTTTGAGAGTCCTTACATCTTAGTAATGTAGATGCACCTAGACTCTTGTTTATAAATTATAATTATGGTGCATCTTTTTGTAAGCACCACTATGCCTTTTTTTCTTTTTAGATAATCAAGTCTCATTCTTGTTCACCTGTATTTGATTACTCATTCTTAAACAGGGAAGCTGCTCTAATTGTGTCTAAACGAATGCTGGCAGATTATTATGTTAAAAGCAGTTCAGAAAAAGAAGACAGCAGAAAGGTATTTGCTCATTGTAGAATGCTGAATGTACTTGCCTGTATGAGAATTTGATCTTAACTCCCTCCCTCTTTTGCTGTCACTTTTTTAGGTGTTGACACTTGAACCATATGAGACCCATTTTGGAAAAAGCAATGTTAGGCAAACATTGGAGCTTGAAGGGAGTGGCCTAGCCACCAGAAAGGTTTCTTGGTTGTTTTATCCTTATTTGGGAAAGGTAGAAAACAACCTTTTGTTGGAGGTCTATAAATTATTTGTTTATTTTATCTGTGTTCTTGATTTTTTTAGCGACGTACTTTTTTTATTCATGGAGTTTTTGAATTTTTTAATTGCTGCTAGAGCATTTTAGGAAGGACAAGCCTAATAAGAAATATAATCTTGACCAAGTGTTACTAGAACTGCTAATACATTTTGGATGCACATTTTGAAATATGGTACACTTTTGTTCCAAAGCAATTAATTATCTATCCAAAGTGATTCCAAAAATTTTTTCCTTCGTTTTTCTTAGGGGAAAAATTAAATATAATGAACTAAAATCTAAGGAGGATTGTAGTTTTGGAAGGACAAAATGGGAAAAAATGCTCATAATGCTTATGAAAATGTGCTTTTTCATGATCAATTGAAAAAAATGTACTATTTTTTTTATTGGATGTCTAATCTTTGAAAGTAAATTGCTCTAGGAGTACCTTAAAATTTAATATTGTAATTTATACAAGTCTACCCCTATCGTTTCACATTTTAGTGCATGTGGTGTTTTATGTTCTTGTTTTAGTTCCCATTCCATATAGCATAATGATCCAAGTAACATGGGTCGACACAGAGAATGGAAAATTTGGTTTTGGTAGTAATGGAAATTTTTTGTTTGTTTTGAATTCTATTGTATTCAAGGAATATGAATCTTTTTCTTTTTTTTTTTTCTTTAAATTTTATTTTGATGAGAAACTTTATGGTCTATTGATTGTGTGATTATGGGGCATATTATGAAACATTGATGAATAAGAAATTTATTTTCTGTTTAATGTATGATCCTGGAGCATATTATGGTTTCATTTCTTACTCTCTTTTTTCATCTTGACATTACGAAATGCTAAATCATGATGTCCCTTGGCGTGTATGTATGTATTGTCATAAGGTGATTCAATTATTATTATTACTTTCACTGCAGCACAACCATCTTGGTTGATAATCACTTTTGATAACTAATTGCAATTTGGAAAACATTATTTGAACACTAGATTGATTATCAAGGCCAGCATAATTTTCATGATCCATTCTCAGAAATTGCCTTTGCAAAAGGGCAAATGGGCATAGTTTATTAAGCACACTAGCTTTAGCCAAAACATGTAATTTTGGGTGATTTGTGCTGCGTGTCCATTAAAAATTAACATAATAATAGTTAATTTGTACCAAAAGGATGTTAACTGATGTTGTGTCAAGTCCCTTTTGTCCAACACTAAAACCTGCATTGGTAGGTGTGGAAATTGAAGTATAAAAATATGGAATGATATTACTTTTGATTTATCTAAAGATATATTTAACCCCCTTTTTTTTGTTTTTACTTCACTTATTGTGCATTGCCCATCAATCCCTGAATTTTACCAAATTTATATTTTTAGGTAGTCCATGATGCCTCATGGTCTGGGCCAATCAGTGAAGAACAATACATCAAGATTGGTAAGGCTATTGCGGTATTAGCGCATGGAGCGATGTGTTATGTTATGTTCTGTTCCTTCAAGGAGCTAATCAAAGACAAGGATTACAATACTGTTGGCGAAAGTGTGTTTAAAAGTATTGTTAAGTTTGTCCTGAGTGTTTTTGATATGGTAAATTCTAAATTCTGCCTTAATGTGCCTGTGGCCAATTTTTTGTGGATATTGTTTTTGGTAGTAGTCTCGCAGAGCTTTCATCAATTTTCTGTGGTTTAATATTTGCTTTAGTCTCGTGTAACTAAAAAAATTATTTGATGTTTTGTTCAACATTTAATGTAGGTACATTAGATTTCTATTTTGTTGTGTTTGAACAACTCATGGATTTGATAGTGATTCATTATATGTTTGTCAAGTAAGATTTAGATGACTAGATCTAAATTTCACTAGGTGGATATGGCCGAGCTTGATTATGAATGAGTGCTGATAGGAATTCAGAGTGGATGAGTCATTTTAACTTGATGCGTGCCGAATGAAAATAGTGAAGTATTTATATGTGATTCTCCATTGTGCTACTATGGTGGGTTAAGAATGGTTGTGTTTTGTCCATTGTCAATTGACTAACGCAAGGATTTTAAATATCAAATCATTTTTGCTCAAGTAGTGTTCATCTTATATATTGGTGTTCCTTTTGTTTTGATGGGTTAGGGACTATATGAATCATGGAACCCTCACAATTGCTTTAGTGTTCATCTTATCCTTTTTTTAATTTTATATTGCTCTACTTTTTAAAAGGTGAGTTTTGTAGTTTGAACTAGTTGACTGCTACTTGATTCTCACACAAGTGCTTCTTAGGTCAATAAATTATATTGTTCTTGATCATTTCATGATGTGCGTTTTGTCTTGTTTTTATTTGAACTATTTTTCTTGTTATCATTGTTGTTGTTTTTGTTATAATGGTGGTAGATTATAATATTATAGTATGAATGTCTTTGTTGCATGGGTTTTTATGGTTTGGAAGGTCTCTTTCATAGTGCACTTACATTGAATATATAAAATGATACACATTGGCGGTTGCCCGTATGTGATTTTGCTGTTGTAAATGTATCACTTTTGTCTTGTGTCATTATTGATGTATCTTCTTATGATATATTTAATTAACATAATTTTTGTTTTTTTGCTATAGCTGTGGTGTTTCTCATAATATGTTTGAATTTACACAAGTGTTTATAGGGTGAATTGTTAAGGAATGTTGGTTCCATTGCTCTCATTTTCATTTACTTTTATATTCCAGGAAGATTTTGAGAAAATATTTGATCAGAGTGTGGTTGAGGATGAGTACTCAAAATTATGTGAAATTCTTGACTCTGTAAGAATTTTTATATACAAGAAATTTTTTTCTTTTTTGGTTGTTTACCTGTTCTCTTTTTCTCATATGTGAAAACACCTTTTTCCATGTGCAGTGTAAATGTGATCCTCTTGTAGCTATTGCTGAGGGGAAGGTGAAAGTTGATCAATTTTCCACGCTAAGGGAACATGATCTTTGTGACACTATACGGGTAAGAATCTTTCTTTTTCATTCCTAGCAATTGCTTTGGCTTTAATAATTGTTAGAATGTGTCAGGGACAGATCTACAGTAGGACCAGGGGTAAGAATCTTTCTTTCCTCGGATTTTCGATAATTCTGTTAGAACCCTAACATATATAAATTATATATATCCTTCATAAAATTGTAACAGTGCCCTCCTTAAAATGGTGATGATGCCCCTTCTATTAAGGATTTTCTTTCTAATTACAAAGATTCTACTAATATGAGTCCTTCTACCATACACTCCACAAAAGGGTATACCATATACAAGTTATGATATTTCGTGGTGTTAATACCATAAAGTGTTAGAACTAAATCATTTTTTATTATAACTAAAAGGACCATAATAAATAATAACCAAACACCACATCTTCGGTCATAACCTAAAAATAATCCCAATAGGTCATAACTAACATCACAATGAGTCATAACCAAAATAACAGTCACAAGAAATTATAACTAAGTTATAACCAACACTACAATGAGTCATAATTAATACCATAATGTGTCATAACTAAGGTTATAAAGATCATAACCAATGTGATAAAGATCATAACTGCGACATGCAATACACACTTTTTTGCAATTGGTTTTTATAGAATTTTCCAAATAAATATATCATTTCTATTTCGACTTATTTTCTTTTATAATTTTCTAATCTACTTATAATAGTTATTCTCCAATATTTTTATAAAATTTAACCTTAAATCCCTTAATTTGAAATTCATATTTATCCAAATGGACTTATAATATTTAAGTTTAGAAATATTTCATTGTTGTTTATTATGAAAAAAAAAAAAATCAATATTGTCTGTATGCAGCAACATAAATGTAGTGCCGAAAGAAAGGTGAAAGCTAATCAATTTTCCAAACTGCGGGAACATGATATTTATGATGACAGAACAGAGGTAAGAATCTTTCTTCCTCATTGCTAGCAATTGCAATGGCTTTAATAATTATTGTTAGTTTGTAAGTTTCTCATTTAAATATTTGTCTTGATGCAACTATATCCATGTAGTGCCAAAAAAGAAGTCAAGGTAATTTTTTATTTTATTTTGTTTTCTAGGTTGTGAAATAAATGTATTCTTGAATGTTCATTGTGGTAATTCATTTTGGTTCTGCTGGTTGATTGACTTCTAAGATATTTTTGAAGTGTGATAGTTGTCAAGCCAATTTTTAATGCATTGTTTGGATTTAATATTTTATAGTATCTCCCTGACCCTATGGAAACTAGATAAGCATACCATCAATTTATTATAAATTTTCTTGAGGTTTGTTTCGACGGCATTTAGATACTATCAAATTGGGAATTTGGTCTTAGGTAGCATTTGGTATCAGAGTTAGGTCAAGTACCTAGTAATTTTGCTTCACCAGTAGGCGATAGCCTTGCCTTGGCTGCCCGCTAGATCTCAACCCATTCCACTGCTATATTTTCTTTCAGTATCACTTCGTGATGATCTCTAACTTTATCCACTAGTTTATTCCTATCCCAAATATCTCTATCATATTTTTTTTTACTCGCAATCCATTTTTGGGTGTTTCTGTTTCACTTTGTCTTTCCCTCTATTTCAACCTCAAATAGGTTTCTATCTTCAAACCATAGTACACCAAGATTGGTAAGGCTATTGCGGTATTAGCCCATGGAGCGATGTGTTATGTTATGTTTTGTTCCTTCAAGGAGCTAATCAAAGACAAGGATTACAATACTGTTGGCGAAAGTGTGTTTAAAAGTATTGTTAAGTTTGTCTTGAGTGTTTTTGATATGGTAAATTCTAAATTCTACCTTAATGTGCCTGTGGCCAATTTTTTGTGGATATTGTTTTTGGTAGTAGTCTCGCAGAGCTTTCATCAATTTTCTGTGGTTTAATATTTGCTTTAGTCTTGTGTAACTAAAAAAATTATTTGATGTTTTGTTCAACATTTAATGTAGGTGCATTAGATTTCTATTTTGTTATGTTTGAACAACTCATGGATTTGATGGTGATTCATTATATGTTTGTCAAGTAAGATTTAGATGACTAGATCTAAATTTCACTAGGTGGATATGGCCGAGCTTGATTATGAATGAGTGCTGATAGGAATTCAGAGTGGATGTGTCATTTTAACTTGATGTGTGCCGAATGAAAATAGTGAAGTAGTTATATGTGATTCTCCATTGTGCTACTATGGTGGGTTAAGAATGGTTGTCTTGTGTCCATTGTCAATTGACTAATGCAAGGATTTTAAATATCAAATCATTTTTGCTCAATTAGTGTTCATCTTATATATTGGTGTTCCTTTTGTTTTGATGGGTTAGGGACTATATGAATCATGGAACCCTCACAATTGCTTTAGTGTTCATCTTATCCTTTTTTTAATTTTATATTGCTCTACTTTTTAAAAGGCGAGTTTTGTAGTTTGAACTAGTTGACTGCTACTTGATTCTCACACAAGTGCTTCTTAGGTCAATCAATTACATTGTTCTTGATCATTTCATGATGTGCGTTTTGTCTTGTTTTTATTTGAACTATTTTTCTTGTTATCATTGTTGTTGTTTTTGTTATAATGGTGGTAGATTATAATATTATAGTATGAATGTCTTTGTTGCATGGGTTTTTATGGTTTGGAAGGTCTCTTTCATAGTGCACTTACATTGAATATATAAAATGATACACATTGGCGGTTGCCCGTATGTGATTTTGCTGTTGTAAATGTATCACTTTTGTCTTGTGTCATTATTGATGTATCTTCTTATGATATATTTAATTAACATAATTTTTGTTTTTTTGCTATAGCTGTGGTGTTTCTCATAGTATGTTTGAATTTACACAAGTGTTTATAGGGTGAATTGTAAGGCTAAGCAAGGAATCCGTAATCTGATCTAGTCCAGTCCAATCCAATAGGTTTGGATTGATTTTTTGAATCCGTGGTTCGGTTCCGGATTGAAGAATTAAAAATCTGTAGTCCACAGATTAGTTTCGGATTAAACCCCACAGTTCCGGATTGGAACCGATCCGGACCGTATACAAATAGTCTATATTTTTATTATACATCCTCCTTCATAGTATCTTTTCTTATTCTATATAAAATCTAAACTCAAACCTAAAATCGTATAATATCTTCTTTTATTATTTTTGTTTGATAGTTTTTAGTTTTAATTTGTAATGGTCTAAATACTTATGGTGAAACCAGTTTTCTTAGGGTTGTTTAAATTCTAGAATAGCATGTCGCTATTGTAGAAAAACATGTTGCTAGTGTGGAACTAATATAATGCTATATTTATATTTTTATGAAATTAAAGTGTTATATATATATATATATATTTTGTTATTTAATTATGTAAATCCGTGGTCCTAAACCGATCCAATCCGTATTTAAATGGATTGGTTTGGATTGGTTCAATGATTTAAACGGATTGGATTGGTTCCAATTTTTCAGGAACCGTAAATAACGGATTGGTCTTGGTTTTACCCCAATCCGGTCCAATCCGGACCATGCTCACCCCTAGTGAATTGTTAAGGAATGTTGGTTCCATTGCTCTCATTTTCATTTACTTTTATATTCCAGGAAGATTTTGAGAGAATATTTGATCAGAGTGTGGTTGAGGCTGAGTACTCAAAATTATGTGAAATTCTTGACTCTGTAAGAATATTTATATACAAGAAATTTTTTTCTTTTCTGGTTGCTTACCTGTTCTCTTTTTTTCATATGTGAAACACCTTTTTCCATGTGCAGTGTAAATGTGATCCTCTTGTAGCTATTGCTGAGGGGAAGGTGAAAGTTGATCAATTTTCCACGCTGAGGGAACATGATCTTTGTGACACTATACGAGTAAGAATCTTTTTCATTCCTAGCAATTGCTTTGGCTTTAATAATTGTTAGAATGTATCAGGGACGGATCTACAGTAGGACCAGGGGTAAGAATATTTCTTCCCCCGGATTTTTGATAATTCTGTTAGTACCCTAACATATATAAATTATATATATCCTTCATAAAATTGTAACAGTGCCCTCCTTAAAAGGGTGATGATGTCCCTTCTATTAAGGATTTTCTTTCTAATTACAAAGATTCTACTGACATGAGTCCTTCTACCATACACTCCACAAAAGGGTATATCAAGTTATGATATTTCGTGGTGTTAATACCATAAAGTGTTAGAACTAAATCATTTTTGGTTATAACTAAAAGGACCATAATAAATAATAACCAAACACCACATCTTCGGTCATAACCTAAAAATAATCCCAATAGGTCATAACTAACATCACAATGAGTCATAACCAAAATAACAGTCACAAGAAATTATAACTAAGTTATAACCAATACTACAATGAGTCATAATTAATACCATAATGTGTCATAACCAAAGACTATAAAGATCGTAACTGCGACATGCAATACACACTTTTTTGCAATAAGTTTTTATAGAATTTTCCTAATAAATATATCATTTCTATTTCGACTTATTTTCTTTTATAATTTTCCAATCTACTTATAATAGTTATTCTCCAATATTTTTATAAAATTTAACCTTAAATCCCTTAATTTGAAATTCATATTTATCCAAATGGACTTATAATATTTAAGTTTAGAAATATTTCATTGTTGTTTATTATGAAAAAAAAAAAAAATCAATATTGTCTTTATGCAGCAACATAAATGTAGTGCCGAAAGAAAGGTGAAAGCTGATCAATTTTCCAAACTGCGAGAACATGATATTTATGATGACAGAACACAGGTAAGAATCTTTCTTCCTCGTTCCTAGCAATTGCTCTGGCTTTAATAATTATTGTTAGTTTGTATGTTTCTCATTTAAATATTTGTCTTGATGCAGCTATATCCATGTAGTGCCAAAAAAGAAGTCGAGGTAATTTTTTATTTTTTATTTTTTTCTAGGTTGTGAAATAAATGCATTCTTGAATGTTCATTGTGGTAATTCATTTTGGTTCTGCTGGTTGATTGACTTCTAAGATATTTTTGAAGGGTGATAGTTGTCAAGCCAATTTTTAATGCATTGTTTGGATTTAATATTTTATAGTATCTCCCTAACCCTATGGAAACTAGATAACCATACCATCAATTTATTATAAATTTTCTTGAGGCTTGTTTCGACGGCATTTAAATACTATCAAATTGGGAATTTGGTCTCAGGTAGCATTTGGTGCCAGAGCTAGGCCAAGTACCTAGTAATTTTGTTTCATCAGCAGGCGACAGCCTTGCCTTGGCTGCTCGCCAGATCTCAACCCATTCCACTGCCATATTTTCTTTCAGTATCACTTCATGGTGATCTCTTCATTTATCCACTAGTTTATTCCTATCTCAAATATCTCAATCATATTTTTTTTTACTCGCAATCCATTTTCTGGTGTGTTTCTGTTTCACTTTGTCTTTCCCTCTATTTCAACCTCAAATAGGTTTCCATCTTCAAACCTATTTGAGTTTGAGGAGGGGTATTATACCTATATCATGGTGAGCATGGTGATATACCATGTAAACCACCTAAGGCGCCCTATCTGGCGCACAATCCAAGTCACCCCCTCTGGCACACAACCCAAGTTACTCCCTTGGTGCACCACCTAAGCCGCCCCCTGGTGTGTTTTCTAATAAGCCGTCCCTTGGCGCACAGAGTCATCTATTGCCATCATCGTTTAGCACCACATCATAAGTTACGTATGTATCATACTTGCTGGTTCAACATCCAGTTAGTCTCTACAACGGTCCGACATGACCTCTTAAACTGTCCTGACATTGATTCCGGTCAGTTCTTACAATGGTCCGACATGATCTCTTTAAACTATCCCAACATTGATTTTGGTCAGCTTTTTCTAGGGTAGTTCCCTCCCCCCCCCCCCCTTTTTGGGGGGGGGTGTTGTTTTTTTTTGGGGCTGGTCGTGCCTTGTAGGTGATAAACACTATTCTGGGCGGGAG